TTTTTTTTTGTTTTACCTATATGTATTTTGCTATTGCATGACAAATTGCTCAAATGACTCGGTGAATAAATGAATTCTCGTCATTTTAAATTTCACTCTAAATATTGCAAACAATCTGTTTATTCTCAGACTTAGCTCCAAGATTTTTCTTTGTGTTGGAGCATGAAAAAGAAGTGAAAGAAAAAATGACAGAAACTGTGGTACGGTCATTGTGTACCTGATATTCTGTTTAAGCTTGTTAAATTTAAGTCTAAATAAGATACATGTATTTATAATTTGAATCATTTGTGTTTCTCTTTTGTTTGCATGATATGATTTTGTTTTATATTTTGTTTTTTTCCACTCACCAGATGTTCCCAACACTTTGCTTCCCACTACTATCATCCCCTCCCTTACCACTGCAACAGTCACAACCACTGTAGCCATAACAACCAGCACAACCACATCTGCAACAACCAGCAGCATAAGAGGTACAGTATGCTTCTTTGTTATGGCCTAGAAAACACAATAAATGAAGCTATCTAGAGGTTTTTTAAAAGGGTAGAGTAATTGAGATCTTAGTTTATGTAAGCCTAAGAAGTAATTAAGTCACCTAAATCTCCAGCAATTAGGATGACTAAAATAAAATATGGGACAACAGGGTATATTTATTTTTAGTGTCACTTATGACTATTACCAAAATATTCCAGAATAAAATAAATTAAAAACATATGAGCTCTACAAATTTGTTGAACAAATTTAAAATGTAAACATGGAACACAGTTCTTGCCTTGCTTTGAAATGTCAAGGAATAATGTGTTCAAGAATACAGAGGTAGCTTTTGCTTTTGAAATTACTAGTTTTATATTATTAGCTTGCTGCTTCTCTTTCCCTAGATTAAAATATCTAGTGTTGAATTTGTTCTCAAAGGGATGTGGTCCATGTTCTTCTTATACTATTCACCTCATAGAACTTAGGAGTAAATATTTAACATGTGTCATCCTAAAGTGAAGTGCTAAGTGGAACTGTTTTTTCCACTAATAGAATGTTCTAAAAGTGAATATTTTGGGGTTTTCAGGATAATAGGAATTCATATTTGACTCCATGATTAATATCTGGTATCAGTATAAAAATAAGCATTTTTATTTTAAAAACAAGGAAAGCAACTTTAAAGAAATAAACATATTCTTTAAGGCAAAAGAAATACTTTGCATTATGGTTAAGAAATCTAAAAAACATTCCTGAGCAGTCATTAAGTGTTTAGTAGAGAATAAAGAAATAAAAGTAATTTTTAAGGCATTATAGAAAAACAGACTTTAACTTACTTTCTGCATAAACAATGCTAAGGGAGAATTTGTCAGATTTATTTCTGTCTTTTTCCTACTTATATGTGTTTTGTGTCATGCTGGCTATACTAATATGTGTTAACAATTTAACTTGAAATTAATGAAGACTTTACATTATTATATGCAATTAAGTTTACTAAGGACATGTTTACTATTATTTTCATTATTTGTAAAGATTGATCAGTTAGACTGTTTTGTTTGGGATTTTTATTAATTCTTGATATTCAATTGAGTTTTTACCTTTGACAACAATTTTAATAGTCTTTCTATTGTTCCAGAAAAATACATTTTAATGCCTGATCATTGTCAATTTTTAATAATCATGTCAACTATATTAGATGATATAGAAAATTGGTGACAAAATAAGTTTGATGGTATTAGCAAAAAGAATGTCTTAAATACTACTGTTTATTTTGTACTGTTTTTGGAGTTTGTTGGCATTAAATCTACAAGTGGGAAGAGTTTAAAGATCCTTCTAATGTCACTTATATACAAATTGAGAGAAAACACCTAATAAAAATGAAGAAAACAGGTAACAAATATTGTATTGTTTAATATAAAATGAAAGATATCTAACATACTGCTTTTCTTTAATGTGTGATATTCTGCAAAGATTTTTACAAATAGGATTTTAAATAAAATTTAATTGTTGCATATTAACAAAATCTCTGATATTCATTTCTAACTATGTCAACAAAATACTGATAGAAAAGAGAGGTACATTGACTTAAAGTGATATATTTAGACAGAAATAATATAATCAATTATTCCTTCATTTTTCAAAAAGTAGTTATTGATTATCTATTATATGTTTGGCAATATATCAAACCCCCAAATTTTGGAAATTACTTATTGTAATAAAAAACCACTAGTGATTAAGTTAAAACATTTCCATCTAAACAGTGTTTGGCTTACTCTATAGTGAATACTATTGTGTTTGTTGTGGAGAAATCTTATGAATATCCTGTGATCTACTGAAGCATAACTGTGTGTGTGTGTGTGTGTGTGTGTGTGTGTGTGTACACACATATACATTCATGTATTTGTGATATTATATATATATATGTATATATATATATATATGTATATATATACTGGATACATGCACACTATTATGGACTGAAGAGAAAAATATTCTTTTTCATAGTGAAGTTAGCATTCTATTCTGTTCAACACACAAATGATAAGTAGAATTTTTGCCATTTAAAATAGTCTTTTAAAACTCAAACCTATTTTTTACGTTTTCGGGTAAATATAATTTTTCCAAGTTTCCTGATATTTTTTTGTTTTGCAATAGTATTAAAAGTACTGAAAGAATTGAATTGATCTTACCCTCAAAGCATACAAATAAACTTCAACAATAACATGCACGCACACGTGCTTGTGTGCATACACACACACACACAGGCACACATACACAATTCCCTCATTTTTAACTTAAATTTTGAAAAACATCATAATTTAAAATAACTTCAAGATATGTCAAAATAAAGCATTTGTAAGCTAAGCAA